GGTAACGTGTTCCGATGGCCTCAGAGCCATCGGCACGTCGTGCGACCAGAAACGCCACACATCTACACGCTCGGCAGACGTCTACATGGGGTCGGCAAAGTGTGCGAAGTGAAACCCAAAAGCCATTGGGTCTTCACGCGCGGCTGGTTTGGGTCGCCAGGAGTCTCCTTTTTGTGGTTGTTTGGTTGTCAGGCAAAGAGCAAGTCAAGTGGGCTTCGGAGTTCGACGTGTTGTTCAGCAACAAGTGCATATGCTTCAGGGATGCCCGTCTTGATTGGCATCTGTCCTGAGACTGAGGAAAATGTCCACATGAGAAACAACCATCTTTGCGGAGTGCAACCTATTTAAACGTTGCATCCCTCCAGGCTGAGAAGCACCATAAGAAGCCTTAATCTATCTTAATCTTAATGACAAGTCAAGCTTTATCACAAGGAGCCAGGTGGCAGAGCACCTTAATCTTCTAATCCTTTGAGATCCAAAGCCCAGGGCATCGCTCGATGACCAAGACTGAGATCGGCATCGATCCTGGGACCCCCTCACTTGAGGCCGTCCCCCACGCGGATGCACACCTGGATCCGGCACCGGTAAGGCCACAAATGGCCACGAGAGGGTGGAACTGGTTGCCACTAGTAGTAAGGTGCCTTGCTACTAATTAGTAACTTCTTGAGGCACTTAGCTACTAGTAACGTCCTTGCTACTAGTAGCGATGCACCTTGCTACTAGAAATTGTGGAAAAAATGGCCTCTCCAGTTAATGGGTTTAGGGTTTAGGGTTTCCGCCGTTGGGACGGCGAGTACGCGAGCAGGTTGCCCCACTCATGCAATCCCAGGGAGACCTGAGTACAAGGGGCCCTAGCCGTGTTGGCGTTGATGCTTCAGAGCCAGTGTTGCTGGACTGGAGATGGAATTCCTTTGACGGCATAAACCGTGCTGTTCCAAAGCGGAAGATAGGTTGGCCAACAATGCCTAGGAAAAGGCCCTCGGACCGGAAACAGGTCATCAGGGCAGCCATGCCTCTCTCTTCTCAAGGTCAAACATGGACCCGGGCCCTCACAACACACTCAACTTCTCAACTTCAGAAGTTCTTTGTACGACATACATTGGAAATCTTTAATAAAGTAGCTCGTTATGTGGCACATGGTTTTTCTTTTTGCTCTGCATGTGTTTGTGATTGTCGATGTTGATAGTTTGGGGTTGGGTTGCCAGCTGCTTTTGGTGTTCCAATCCGTTTTGGCAGAGCTTCATTGCCAGTCCTTTGGAAGGTGACATTCTACACTATATCCCCTATTATACAGCCTGACGTTCAAAATGACCAAGTCCTCGAGTCGTAGAGTCTAGAGGCTCCGAACCTGCCCATGCAACTGTTCTTGATTTAAGGTTACTGTGTATTTACAATGTATATATATTTATATACATAGTTTTACTACTATGTTGTTCTTCGTTCTTGGTTGGGTTTGCTGGTAATTTAGTTTATTGTGCCCTCAAAGCTTTAAAGCACCACGCTTGAAGACCTTAAGCCCATATTACTCGACATGGTTCTTCTATGAACTATAATCTTAATGGCTGCAGCTTTACCCAGAAACTATTGAACATCGAGAAACAAATCTCTAATCTCGGTGCTACAAAAGTGGAACAGCAAGTCTTCAGAAAACCTACACCGGCGCTCTACGGACGCAGCGCCAATCTTTCGCATGTTCACCGCTGACCGGACCCACTTCACTGTCAGAAGGGCGAGCTCTCGTGGCCTGCACGATCTCCGAGCTTTGTGCCGTGCCGGCCACCAAGTCGCGGCTCTCCGGCAAGGGCATCGGAGATTTGTACCTCCGACTCGGAGAGAGTGCCGAAAGAGTGGATGGCAGCGAGTGTCCACACCCATGGTCCCAAGCTACAAGGCTCACTTCAGGGAAGATCCTGTTATGGAAAGTTCGCAAATTCCAAGCAAGTGGAAGGTGTGTCACTTCATCACGTGCATATGCTGCATATATCATTATTACTAATTATATACTGAGTACAGCTTGGCCAAAACGCAGGACCAGCAAAATGGCCTGAGCTCGTTCCCTTCATCGGCTGATTTTTTTTGGTCCCCCATGATTGGTCAAAGAGTTGTCTGCTGCTCCTGTACGTCCTATGCTGCTCCTGTATAAATAAAGAACCCCCCTCTCTGCCGCTACAGGTGCAAAAGATTTGGGTTGTAAATCCTGGTCCTGAACTAACGTTGTGTTCATCTTTTGCCGTGCTGGCACCAAGAAAGGTGTTGTACTGAGCATGGATCACTTCATATCTTGAATGAGGGACCTTCAGGTACCATTTCGTTGTGCAATCGCTACAAGCCATATTTGAACATTCAATTTAAAAAAAAGAAACTCACCTAAAGTCCTGAAGGATGTTGAATGGTTTTAGTTATGTTCAATGATAAGGCTACAGAGAACTATTTGGGGAGAAATGATAGGGTGGATGGATGGATAGATTAGATAGCTAGATAGATCTATAAGAGAAGCTGCACTTGGAGTTAGAACCCTCCTGGCTTTCTAGGAGTGAGAATGGCGATTCTCCAATGTCTTCTCCCACTGTACACTGTAGACAGTTGACTGTGGGTGGGACACTTACAATCCTATCAAGGTCGTCAAGACCTGCAGCCCATCCGACCCAATCTGGTCGTGCACCCCTTGGTGTGAGTGTTGTTTCCTGGCAGAACTGGGTGGCAAATCGACGCGCTCAGTGTGACTCGGGATCCGAAGCGAATGGATGGATTCAGGCAGGTCAACTGATCCTACACTTGTCTTTGCATATTGATCACTCGTGCTCCCACGACTACTACAGAAGGAAACATGAGTGACCCAATTAGACAGTGCTGACCCTCTAAAGAGGAATCTCAAATGTCAAGTACCAGAATGTCACATACCATGCAGGACATACAAATGGGAATGGACCAACATTGGGGAATCGTCACTGTGGTTACGTGCTCTGCAGTGCCTTTTGTCTTGACAAGGTGAGAAGGGTTAGCAGAGTGGCTTGGCCGCCATGCAAAGTCATCCAAAGCTGTGTGAAAGCCCGAAACCGAAAAAGTCTTCATGTCTATTATGCATAGTCACAGCGTCTTCATGCCCCAAAAACATCGTCTTCCATGAAATCCACCATCGACAAATCATGTCCCCAACGCCAAAGGTAAACACCAGGGCACTCCAATCACACGTCTCGATACGTTAGGATTTATTCATTGATGCAACGGCGACACTCCTGTTTGTCTCTTGGAACAACACCCCAAACCAGAAATTCTCCACAAAAGGCATAACAGCCAGTCTTCCTCCGAGGTTTTAACGAAACAAACGGAGGAACAGACCGAACTCGACGCCAATCTTGCCTCCAGGCTGTTCAGGTGGGAGCGCGCAGTCAGGGTAGACCTGGCACAGTCGGGCAAATCAAGCAGCTGGGGCATGCCGGATTCCAGAAGAACCTCCAAAATATGAAGCACGTGTGTATGTTATATTTCATCCGCCAATCTTGGAACAGTGTGACTTACAGTACAATGATGCTTCTCTTGCTCGTCTTTTCAACTCGCGAATAGCTGTCCAACTTAATCATCATATGTTCTTTTGCAGCTTCCCAAGGTAGCTGCATGCGCCTCCAACAAGTCTGTTGATTGTCCAAAACACACTGAAGTGGCAATACTTATTGCAGGACACGAGACGGCTACAGTGTCGCTACAGTTCTGGTTTTTGTTCTGACTTTGCTGCTTCAAGGGGTCTGACCGCAGGCGTGGTGGCTGATGGTATCCTGCACGTGCCGCGTTGCCTCTTCTGTTTTTAAAACTCATCGTTTTCATGCACAGCAGCTTCACAAGCGCCTCCCAGTCACCCCACTCTCCATCACCGACGTCGGCTGGAAGAAAATGACGTGTGCGTAGCTGATACCTGCAAACCAGAGCTGCGAAATGAGTCATCATGCTCTATGCATCCCCTGCCTCTCCATAAAAAAAGGAGATACCTGTGGTGTATTACATAATGGACAAAGTCCTTGTGATGCTCGATGTCTTTCTCATGTTGTGCTCTTGGTGAGAGTAAATATGATTCGATAGATTGTCTAGCACGCTTACCTCGCTGTGGCATCCAAAGAATCCCTGGTGCATCCACTTGGATCACGACAAAGCGAGTAAACCAACAACACCTAAGAGTGCTTGGACGCAAATAGTAAATTCATCGCTCTTAGGTTGGAGGCCATCGCTCTTAGGTTGGCCATCGCTCTTAGGTTGGAGGCCATCGCTATTATACCGAAGAGTTCTTGGACGCACATAGTAAATTCCTACTCACCAAGTGTCCAAACCTCTTTGGCCGACGAAAGATTTCATTCTACTTCTACGATCATAGCCGCCATGGCCCCCTGAGAAAGGCTCAACATGGCTAAATTACATCAGGAGCATTCCTCACGGTGACCATTCGTTGGTGACCAATCGTCAGAGTCCTTTAGGGGCTCTTCTGGTTCCATCCTCCGCCCTGCTCAAGCATCCTAGGATCACAGTGTGTTAGACCTCAAAGTAGCGCCTGTGTAAAAATGTCTGTATATATTACATGTAAATATACATACACCCTCTTGAAGTATCATAGAAGTGGAAAACGGCCAGCTTGTAGAGGAAAATGGTCCTCCAATGGGCCATGTTCCACTTCCATGATACTTCCAGGGAGTGTACATGAAACTGACATGTAATACGCCTTGAAGAACATATGCCACCTCTTGATATCGCAGAGAAGGGCCGTCAGCGTCACATGTCATGGACAAAGCGCTTTCTCCACCTGATGCAGCGGCCTTCTCCTTTTGACGCTTCACGAATCCCTCCCTCCCCAGCGGACCTGTTGCCAGCGCCAAGAAACGAGAAAAACACAAGCACAAGACTCTGTAGAGGAAAGCCTCCCTGCACTCCCTTCAAATATTGGAAGTGTTTTCTACCTGTTTGCTGACCTTTACATGCAGCCCTAAAATATCCAAATATAGACAGTTGCTTTTAATGTCGTTTGGTTGTGCACCCATTCTGAACTTTCCTCCACTTTGGCTCATTCATTGGTTTGTCTGCTTGGCTGTTCCATCCGTTGATAGCCATTTGCAGTGTCTGCACTCCGGCGGAAGGCACCACACTTTAAAGCGACATATATGCAAAGCACCAGCAAGCCAATGCCCACATAGATCTGCATCACCAACATGAAGATCTCAGCGCAGCCCAGATCAGGAATGACTTGAGGATATGGACAAGCTGGACAGAACTTGGATTGACCTTCCCTAGCAATGGTCCCCATATGGTCCCAGTGTGTTGTGATTTGAGTAGACATCCAAACATGCTTCAAAGGTCTTTATCATATTGAGCTAGTAACCCAATGCATAGCAGATCATAGCAGGATCTTCCGGCAGGATTGGCACCCATCTCGAACGGTTTTTAATCGCCAGCTCCCGAGACATCGAATGATATGGCGTCAGTACTAGCATCCACCCTACTAGCGACGGCCTCCAACCTACTAGCATCAATACATCAAGACCCTCCTTCATCTGCAAAGTAAAAAGTTTCTTTAAAAGAACAACTCTTCCATTTCGAGTCCGATTCCACCACATCCAGCGCGGGTCGATTCACCCAAGTGACACGAGCAAACTTGGCCATGAAAGAAGGCTCGTTGAAGCCCTTGGGCACTTCTGCCTCACTCTCCCAGCCGGGCTCCAAGCTCTTTACCTGCATCCCTTCATGCGTCGCAGGCATGATTCCGGCACCCAGGAGACTGTAGCCGGTCTGCCCCGGCATGATCAAGACCATGATCACCCACTCCAAGATGATGATGGTCGAGCAAATGGCGACCAACAGGTAACCCTGCAGCAGGAGTTTGTTCAAGTTTTCAACTGGCTACCTGTTTGGTTTGAAGCCTGGAAGCCGTCAGCATGATCTCCAAGAAGCAAACCCACGTGACATCCCAAAGAAAGGGCACCATCATTTCTGTTGCTCTAGCCAGGTATTGCCTGTTCTAGTTGCTTGTGTATAGACTGAATCTGAAAATGCAGAGAATGCCAGAGACAGCTGTAGATGTTGCTTCCCCTCCCAGCCCCCTACTGCCGAGCTGCAAACTTTGCCATGGGGCTACAAACTGACTGAGCGCACGCACGCGGTCCAGACATGCAAAGCTGCCACAGTGTATGTCGAGTGATATACACAATGGTGCACAGGCAGAAAGTGCTCAACAGCCCGAGGAAGAGTGAAAGCCTCGCAGGTGGAACATGAGCATTCCGAATTCCAAATGTGTGATAATGAAGATGAACTGGCACCCCCTGAAAGCACATGAGAATGGACTGGTGAGTAAGCATATGAGGGATGGTCAAAACTACACAACAGTCCCTCGAAACATTGGAAATTTCATGAGTCTGAGTCAGACAGCCAGCGCCCAAGACCTGGCAAAAAGCTACAACTCGAACGTCTCAAGGCCTAGCAAGTCCAAGAAGGTCGCTAGAAAGTGCGAAACGTTCACGATGATGGAGAAAGATTGACTTAGCACCCGTAACATCTGCAAACGGTCCCATTAAATCCAATTGATATGTATGGACACAGGTCAAAACTATGTAACATTGTTTCTTGTCCGTGTCATTCTTTGCTGATCAACATGGGGCCATGATAGCAGTGCTTTGACCGCACCTATCAAGATCACGAAGTGTCCACCTGTCCAACCTTTCAGAGGTTTGGTCAGATCTTGCTAAACAGCTCGGACATATTGCTCAGTGCTTGGTCAGTGACTGAATGTCTGCGAAAAATGATTTCACCTGAACACCAGCAGCTTCACCCAAAACATGTTTAAAACATCGAACTCTGAAACAGCTGACAGGGCAGAAGTGCTAGGTTGAGACCTGCTAGATTCAGCACAGCGGCACCAGGAGTTTTCGCGAACGTGGGACAGCTTCACGCAAAGCCATTGTCTGAGTCTGAGTTGAATCCCCGCGACCTTGTTGAATCATGTTATCAGGTTGAAACCAAGAAACAAACCAGTGTAGGTCCAGTAAACGAATCGGTTTCTTTGTGCACCTGCATCCGCATCGGTTGGGTCGAAATAGCAGGGGTAGGCTTTGGCCTCAAGGTCAGAAGCACAAAGACGTGCGCTTTTCAGATATCCGCTGCAGGCTCCTGTGCTACAGTTCCAGATCTTCGCGCTACAAGGCTCAGTCCCAAACCTTGGAGGCCACGACTGTCACGCAGCCACGATGGCCATGATGGCCACCGCGGGACACAGGACACCCCACGAGACATGGCTTGCTGCCACTGGCAGACTCATCTTGCTCTTCAGTCACCGGTTTGGACATGCTGGGACATGGTTGGACCCTGCCGAGGGGAATCGGAGGTCCCAGACCTCTTGTTCTTTTTTGAGAGCAGTGACTCTGACTGATTGGATGGTGCAGGTGCAAAAGTCCATCGACTGTATCGAGCATCCGCCACGAAAATTCTAGCCAACCCAACGTTATGACATTCCAAGAGTTGAAGAAGGAAACCAGAGATAATATGCGTACTAGTCAGCCACTATATTCCGCCAAGGCGTGGCAACCGCAAAATTTCAATCAACAGAGAAATAAAGAAACCACATGGGTGCAGCCTGTCCTCAGAAGTGAGGTATTAGGAACATTTAGGATCATTTAGGAACTGACCCTCTTTGACCAAACCCCATTCCCCGCAAATCTCAAAACGAAGCTGCGATCGTATGGAGTGAATCTGTAGGGAAAAGTCAAAGCCAAGACACCTAATAGCGATGGCCTCCAACCTAGTAGTGATGGCCTCCAAGGGAAAAGTTCAGATTCAGAGCCAAGACACCAGTACAGCCCAGGTTCGCCCCAGCAAAACACTCCCGTCTCTTTCGTGCGCGTACGGCGCCAGAGCGGCAGCTCCTCGTCTTCAGTGCACTCTGCAAAAGTCGTGGCCCAAGTGGGGCACTGGTAGACAAAGACAGGGATCTTGCAAAGGACCTCAAGTCTACCCTGGCTCGTCATTCAACGTTTGCATACCAACTGGTCAACCGGTGCTCCTCCAAACTCTCTGGATACCGCCAAATGGGATAGATAGCATGATATCATGAATATCATGTTATGTGGAAGGCAAATGTTTGGAGGTCTGCTTTATATATAATCAATATATGTATATAGAGCGAGAGTAGAGTAGTTATATATATATACATATATATACTGTATGTATACACACACACACTACTGCCTCCAAAAGTTTAAGATCCAATAAGCTCCATGGATCGTTCATTGGATGCGCTTTCCTAGAAGGTTTCGTTAAACTTGAGCCATTAGTCTACCATTGCAGAGTCAAATGCCTCTTCTACTACTTCAGCAGCAGCAGCAGCAGAAGCAGCAGCCGCACCACCACCACCTCCACCTCCACCACCACCGCGGTTGAAACTGAATGTCAAAAGGCACTTGGGACACTCACTACTGAAGGCTGGGCCAAAATAGCACGGAGGTGTCTTTGTTCTCCAGGCGACAGCAACTACTACTCAGTACTCCCACTACGACTCCCACTCCTGCTCCTGCTCCTCCTACTCCTTTCATTCGTACTCCTACAACTAGGTCTACCACTACGATGATGATCACCACCACCACCACCGCCACCACCACCACCATGATCACCTGAGACAGGCTGAGGTATTGGAACTTGTTAAGTGTACTGATTGGTAGACCCCAAAACATCACCGATGGATCTAGCCACCCGCAAAAAGGATGTTCTGTTTTGTTAACTAAAACGCAATTCTGTGCAAAAACGTATGTGGTACGTCCCTTCAATGGTTGCACTCATGAGATGTCTCTTACTAAAACCAGCCGTTTGCCCATGTCCCCTCATCCCGTCTCTAGCCTGTGGGAGGTCTGTGCTAGGCTCCAGCTTCCTTGGTGCGTGACTCCGCACGTTCGCTCGAGCTACCAGATCGAGGTCTGAGACACGGCCTGAGGACCTTCCCAACCACTCCGCGGTATGTTTGAATCATGTTGAACCACTACAACCAGGGCGCGCTCGGGACCGCAAGTGAGACTGAACCACTACAACCAATGCTGTCTATGATTCTACAGCAACCGCTACGTCGAAGTGGAAAAAGACAAGGGTTATGTGTGTACCATGAATGACCAAACAAATCGCTCTGCGTAACTCTGTGTATAATCAAACACTCCGTTAAAATCCGTTAAACACTCCCAGTAAATCTCCATCCTCCAAGCATCTCTTTCAAGGTCAGCTCTTGTGGCCGGAGACCGAACTCCGCATCCGCCACAGACTCACCTGCTCGGCGTCCATCGAAGCATTTGCCCAGCTGCTGATGCTGAGAGATACTGAGGGAAGTCCTGAGCCACGGACATCGCATTTAAGACTCGAAGATGCTTCCCAGTTATCCATATTTATTCAAAGTACGTAGACTGTAGAAACATGTCGCAACCCAATCATCGTCCAACCCAGGGAACGGTAGGCCATCGCTATTAGGTCGCAACGGTCTTCATCCCAACCGCTGTGTTTCAGCTGCCGCGACTGGGCTCTGGATCGGGCGCATTTCGCTGACAGGCACGATGGTCGGACGTGGTGAGTCTTAGAGTGATGACAGGTTTCATGAAAGTACCGGGCCGTTCTCTTTCTGATTCATGCTGTGGGTTGCGCTCACAAATCATAGTCAAATCCGACATGGGAGTGTTGACATCGAGAAGTTCGACAGGCATTTGAAATCAATGATTGGAATCGGTGTCAGAACCGCGCACTGTCGGTGTTGGCCACTGGTCTTCCAGGATCTCGCACTGTCGGCTCGTATCATCCTGATTCATCCTGCACCAGGACATCATCAGCCCAACTTTCCAGTGGGCCAGATTTGACCATCTCACAGGACTAAGCCCTTTTTGGGCATCCACCAGTGTACAAAAACAGAGGCTACAGAAATGATGTCCAATATTTATGCAGCCGATGTTGCTCGGGGTTGTTTGGTTTCCTTATTATTGGCACTTTCGTTAAGGGCCTCATCATGCACAACTATTCTTGCACGGGAATCACATTTACCTGACGCAACATCATTCTTCAACTGAGACCTTTCGGGCACCGAAAAAAACGTGTCCTTCTTTGTGTCTAGTATCAGGAAGAGTTGAGACTCATAGGCGGTGAATCCCAGGAGCATTGGGCTCCAAAGTGTCAGAACATAAAGAAGCGGCCGTGTCCGCGCATTGATGGACTCCGTCGTCTCCATGCGTGGTCCGTGCCGTGGCCGAAAGCCACGGCAGTGCGAAGCCGAGTGGAGTGGATTTCTCCGACAACCGAGGGTCCCTTGGAGTTGGAAATGGCTACGGTCGCGGACATGTGCGACTGAGGAAGGGGTCCAGGTGTCTTCGGATAAGTTTTGGGTTCAAAGTACTCCCAGAGCATGGTCTTTGCAGCTGGAATTAAACTGGACCCTATGGCCGACGGGCACAACTAGGGTACAGCAGGGTGCACAGCACATCTATGCAACTTGCTGGTGACAGGTATATTGTACATCATTGTACATGGTACTTTGTCCGCATCGGAGTTTGAATTTAGATCTTTACCGCTTAAGATTGGGAACATCCCGCCAAACTGTTCACCAAATTACAGATTCAGCCAGCTCCAGGTCGGTCTTGACACGATTCCCCACAGCAACTCAGTAGGTTCTTCAACCTGCTGCTTTGGCCAAAATCGTGGAGCATCCTAAAACCTGGTTCCCACTTGGCCCCAATCCATCAGCGATGGCCGAAACATGTTGCATCCGAATTTCCAGTGCCAAAAATAGGACGCTACTAGGGGCTCCTGGCCATACTAGTAGGAGCAAGGACGCTACTAGGGGCTCGACGTCTCACTCGCCACTCGTTCCATCGGGCCTCGTCACGAAAACGTGGCCAAAGCCTCTGGGCCAAGGCACCGGCCTATGGGGCGCACCGCTCGGGTCACACGAGCCGTGGAGCATTCACACCCGGGGAGTCCTTGGGGTTTAAGCATGGCATGAAGATACTACATATATATATATATATGTGCATATGTATTTATCTATTTATATATGTATATGGTACGAGTATACCATGGTGTGGTTCCCTTTTTGTCGATGTTCACAGTTTATTGTTCACTTCATGTTACTTCTGCGCCCCTGGAGGTGGTGTTAGTGTTGGTGGTGCTTGGTTCAACTGGAGGCCTCCCATTGATGACATTCTGCTCATGTCACCTGCTAAAGCCTGCGGGCGCCCCAGGACGGCCAATGTGCTCGCGGTCGTTTGCCAACCCTGAGCAAACCATAGCAAAACACTGTTTTAGTGGTACCATGTTGGAAGCCTTCTTGTGGGCATTTCCACGAGTTGGCAACATATCCCCAGAATCAAACGCTTCCAGGGCTTCTTGCTCAGCAAATCCTATGGGCATCGATGGGAACTTTGGGAACCCTTCGGTCAATTCGGGGACCCGTCCGGGTAGCGCGTGGTAGGATGGTAGGATGCCTCGCCAGTTGCTTGTCAAGAGTGTAGAAACTCGGGCTTTAGATGTTCTGACTATCGCAATATGCCAAGTTAAAATGGACACATCTGGTTTGGAACCATCTCTGCCTGTCGGATTTCCTCCGTGTGATATTGTGGTTCGTCTTCGATGAATGGGTCTGAAGTCTTTCACCATGTTGCTTTTGCTCCTCCTTGATCTTTAAAGGGTCCAGGGTTCCCCTTGCCGAGGCACTGCGCAGCATCCTCACCTGCGCTGTGGCTCACTGGAACCCAACGAAAATGCCCCATCTTGACACTGTAAAGGGAGCTGGTACGGGCAACTTTGCCAAACTGGAGATATACAATGAATTACAATTATTTAGATATATAAATAAATACGGAAAGTCAAAGTCATGTCTAGTTACCTGGGTCTAGTTACTTGGGTAAATCCAACAGGAACCTGCGTGGGAATCCCTACAAACAATTGAGGGATGGTTGTCTCTTTTCTCCAAATTTATTGTTGGCCCAAAGAACATGGGATTGGACTGATGAGGCCTCAATTAACTCAACTAGATATTCTGACCCCTCATACCAGAGTCTCTTCACAGAATCGAGAAGAAAAGACAGGGGCCTTTGGCTGGACCTTTGGTAGGTGGATCATCAATAGTCCCAGATGTCCCCAGATGCGAGTTGGGAACATACCCAACGACAAAGACCTACACCTCTCCAGTCAACGTACCCATCAGGCACCCTGTGAAACATTTCACCTCCGCACTACAAAAATCGGCCGAAGAGCAGCTCCACTGCTACAAAGCCGGCCACTCCCCAAGCGTGTCGAAAAGACTGCAAATTCCTCTTAAGCTGGCCATGGGCGATAGCTTGGCTTTGATGTGCTCAATCGCTGGATCTCTGACTCTGAGACAATAAATGAATGCTTGACTTGGGAAATCTGAGGGACTCTCCTCCTTGTCGTTCTTTGGGTGTGAGTGAGTATCAAGTTATGTCAAGATTGATCCATAGTGTGTCACCTTCTTAGGTTTGTGGCTGACTCTAGAGAAAGCGACGGACCTGGTAAGTGGATGTAAGTGGATCATCGAAGAATAGTTTCTCTTGAAGTGATGCAATCTACGTCTGGTATCTTCTGGTTATATAAGTTGCAAAAAGATCCGCCTCTTGCATCTTGCCGTAAAGTGCCTCTTGGAGGCGGATCACTCACTACTCCCACCTGGCGTGTGCATTCGACAGCCCCTTGGTATCCCTTGGTCCCCGCCTGACATCTTCCGGCCCTTCAGCTCCGTGGTGTCTAAAGCCTGCGCTGTTCGACGCACGAATTCTTGTTACTCCTAGCTTCTTGTTACTACTAGTAAGGCACTTGTTACTAGTAGCGATGCACTTGTTACTACTAGTAAGGCACTTGTTACTAGTAGCGATGCACTTGT